TTCTCAAAACCTCATGACAACATATCTAGATTCCTATCAGTGATGATTTAAAACGTTCAGCCAGCTGTGCACTAGTTCTGTTCCACACTAATAAAATGTTTTGTGTGAATAAGTGCTGTTTTCCCAGAGTTAGGACAAAGGCTTTTGGTAGTTTTGTTTCAGTTCTGACCATCCAAAACCAGAACCAAAGAGTTCAAATACTCCCCAGAGAATCTGGTTAGAGGTTCATTCTAAACCTGTTATTAAAACCTGAACTGCTTAATACCAAAGACTATAGAATACCCAAGACGTGTCACTCATAAGCTGCGTACCAAATGACGGACTATACACTGTGCACTCATACACTATGTACTTATGCACTATGTACTCAACCATGTATAGTATGAATTATATAAGGTTATTTTGTCATTCATAATCGGAGTCTCATAGCCCCTCCCCCTTCAGTACGTAATTAAAGCTGCGACAATTGAGTGCATGAAGTGTCCAACATTCCACACTTCATTTTTTCGGTTATTTAAGTGCATCATCCGGGTATTTAAAGTGCACTTTTTCTTTTTGGAATTTTCAGTGTGAACGCACTACGCACACTATTTATACTACAAAACGTAATAGAATAGTGCATAAGTACGCGATTTGGGATGCCCCTATATAGTTTTGAATGGAGAAAAATGCAACGCTCAATATGGCCGCTCTATCGAACTAAGCCCCGCCTTCTGAGCAAAAGAACCAATCGCTAATCGGTAAAGTCATCGCGTCACTGCAGCTGCTGTTAGAAGTCCCAGTTGCTATAAAAACAGTACGCTGTTCTGAGACGTGCGCTTAGGACTGCACATGCGCACTGGTGGGTCTAGCCTGAGAAATAAGGACTTCATTAATACACAGGCTCCATTCGCACGTTGTTTTGGATATGTTTTATGCTTATTTTATTTTATTTTATTTTATTTTATTTATTTATTTATTTATATATTTATTTATTTATTTATTTATGCCCTATGTTGTTCCAATCTCATAAGATTTTCATCTTTCAATCACAAATGAACATCATTTTAAGAAAACCTGAGATAGTTTTGTCCCTCCACAATGTCCACACAACCAAAACTCTGATGATCAAATTATATGATAAACAGATTAAAATTTAGTCAGTTCACATACAGATCAGTGCACACACACAAGAACCAATGAGGTTGGTTCTCACGCCACACAAGCACGTTTGAGCCCATATTTGCCATATTTGATATGCTCTATTGAATATTGACAATTTTATTTATTTATTTATTTATTTTATTTAATTTTATTTTATTTTATTATTTTATTTTATTTTATCTCCCACTATTTGCCAGTGATGTTGTCATTAGTAATGTTTTGTTTTTGTGGTAATCGTTTATTTTTTTATTTTAATTTATTTTATTTTATTTATTTTATAAAATCTCCCACTATTTGCCAGTGATGTTGTCATTAGTAATGTTTTGTTTTTGTGGTCATCGTTTATTTTTTATTTTATTTTATTTTATTTTTTTAAATCTCCCACTATTTATCATTGAGTATTATGTGAGTAATACTGCTCAGTGTAGTATTTGCTTACTGAATTCCGTCTTTTTTCCTATGTCTATTTCTATAATGATTTGTTATTTGACTTGTCTTTCTTGCATTTATTTAACCATCTATCGAGTGCAACTCCTTACAAATGGAGAAACAATATATTTTTTAATGAATTAACAATGTTGATTCTCATTCACACCAGACAACTAAACAAACTACATGACAAGCACTGGTGTTTTCTTCAGAAAATGCAAATTTAGTTTGTTCAGCTACAGTTTTTTTTCTTCTGTGTGCTGCATTATTGTGGACACACTACAAAACTCCTTCAAGATATTTTTTTCTGTCTTGTTTTTTTTCTTTTCCTTTTATATCATTGTGTTTTAATTGAGCAAGAAGGTTTTGTGCAGAAGAAAAGTACATGATTCTCATGCATTTTTTCACTCAATGCTTTTATTCCACACAATAGACTCACCTCCAATCATCAAAGGGGAAATTACATTTGCTGTGCCCAGCATCTGTTGTGCGTTTGTGTGTGTGTCACTGGTACTGAACGCACTCTGATAATCCTGAAATCCATAACCCTGTCTCCATCAATGCACAGCGCTGCACACTAACCACTTCCTGTCTGAAGACCATCCCTGTCTGTCACCTCATCTGTTTTTTTCCTCTTCGTACAGCTGTCTGTCTCACACATTTATTATCTGATGGTTTGTTTATATCCTCATACCTTTTTCTTTTATCTCTCTCTCTCTGTCAGGAGCGACAGTGTTGTTTGTGAACGCCACAGACCTGGACGCGTCTCGGGAGTTTGGTCAGGTCTCTCTCATCTATTCCCTGCAGGGCAGCTCACAGTTCAGACTCAACACTCGCTCAGGTGGACAACGGCACACACATTCACACCTGCCCTTTAACCCTCATGCTCTTTTAGGGGTCTCACAGACCATAAAGGCCCTTTTAAATAACTCAGATAACAGTTAATAACAGTCTATCTATCTATCTATCTTTTTCCAGATTGCATAAAATGAGTATTTATTTAATTTCTGCAATTCATTTTCTAATAAAGGCACAAACCCTTCCAAAAGAAGTCGAAACAAAAAGGTTGAGGTTCTTAAATGGGTGGTTGATTGCGATTTCCCTTTTTTAACGTTAGTTAGTGTGTAATGTTGCTGTTTGAGCATAAACAATATCTGCAAAGTTACAAAGCTGAAAGTTCAATGCAAAGGGAGATATCGTCTTTTAAAAATCTGGCAGTTTAATGCCTACAAAAATGGCTCGTAGGGACTACAACAAGTTACTTCCCGGGTTCGTGACGTAACAAACCCAGATAAACCCCGCCCTCTGGAAAAGGCAGCAAAGGGGGCGGGGCCATGCTGCGCTGCTTTAGAGAAGAGGAAGAGAAAACTAGAGGTGCACGTAAAAATCTATTCATATATGAATCGGGATTCTACGGAGCCCCTAAAGGGACATGGTGGTGGGAAAAAAATTCGGGGTGGGAGGAAAATTTTTTTTGCGTTC